CTGAAATCATCTCTAAAGTTGTATGCTAGAAGACATACGTTTTTTTAATTTCATGAATATATTGAAAATCCTGATACAAAACACCTCAGAGTAATGGGATATACTGTTTTAGTAGAATAAAAGCCAGTAACTTAAGTTATTCTGCACCATATTTGGCACGATCTAAATCTCAGTGTGCTCATGATGAAATCCTAACTGATTTCTGCTGTAACCTAGGCTTCGTCCCAACTTCAATCCTATTTGGCGAATCATGTTATATCAAGCAAAGTGATTACTAATTGTAAGCAAAGATGGATAGTGGCTAGCAGTGGAATCCAGGACGTGCGTTTCGTCCTATTTGGGACTCGTCAGCTGGATGTACCTGCATTTCAGAGTTGATGTTCACTCTGGGACCCGAACCCAGTACCATTCGCTTCAAACGCCATCGCGTTATCCACTTAGCTAATGAGTCCTGATAGCCACTTGCTTGTGGAATGGGGTGAAGTTTAATTCACTTCGTATTGTTTTACTTGAATCTTCCCATTGATGTTTAGGACTGCGATTGATCAGTCTCTTATTGGCATATATGTGTATAGCCTCGATATTGCCTTAATTTACAAGCATTATAAGTTGCTTGTACTATATCATTTAACTCTCATATCTGTTATTAAACATTGAATATTAAATTATCCCGACAATTGAGCTCACGTATTATTTCGGTGTTTCGCTAGAGGAAGTGATCAGAACTTTTTCAAGGAGCTAAACAAAGTGTCACTTGAAATACAAAATCTACATGAATTATCTTCACTCAATCTGAACCTAAACAATCTTCCGTCAGATTGTATGCTTATTTTTTTTACTACATCGTCACATTCCAATAAACAGTATAGAATTATGTAAGATATGCAATGTGGCTTATATTACTTTAAATGCGCTTATAGCAAGTAGGATGAATACCACTGCTATCGGGTATTCAGACGACTAACAATTACTCGTTGGCCCTATGAGGAACAAGAGTAGTGCCTATGAATTTATAGCCTTCAGATAATGAAATTTAAATAACAACAGTGCCAATCTAACCATGCAGAATCCTGCGACTTCCTGATCACGCTGTAATATGATTACCCCCATAATTTTTTTATTTGTGAAACTATAATGCGAATCAAGTTTAAAAACATTTGTAATGATTTTTAACTACATACGTTTTATTTAAGGTAATCTTGTGCTTCAGAATGCTGAAGAACGCTGGACTGCTGTTGGTTATCCTGGTCACCTCTACGGTACTGTTAACGGGGGTTTAGGTCTTCTTGTTCAAGTTTCTCCAGTTTTATTTGCGTTTTTGAAAGAAATCGAGTTTCGTTTATCAAATCTGGTTGTACCTGTCGGTGGATTTTCACATGATACATGGAGAGCTTTTAAAGCTGATCGTGAAATTAAAATGTCGCATAATTTCGTAGATGGTGATCTCATTGAAACAGTCACAGATTTAAACATGGACGACAAGGCTAAATTAGTCAAAGGTTTACGAATACCGGTATGTAACATTCTTTTGGTTTGATCATTACAATTTATATAATTATCGATACTATTTCAGTTATTTACTTACGCCTGTTACCCCTCGTGTAGGAGCATAGGCTGCTCACCAGCATTTTCCATCCAACTTTGTCCTGAACAATCCTTTCCAGTTGCTATTCATCCCTTTGATGTTTGCTTCCGATTCCCGACGTAATGTGTTCTTTGACCTTCCTCTTTTCCGTTTCCCTTCAAGATTCCAAGCTAACGCTTACCTCATGATTTCTTAAATGTGTGTCCTATCCACTTCCAACGTCTATTCCTAATTTCCTCTTCAGCTGGAAGCTGGTGTGTTCTCTCAAACAGGAAACTGTTGCTGATGGTATCTGGCCAATAGATGTTGAGTATCTTGTGTAGACGATTGTTTATAAATACCTGTACCTTTTTGATGATGCTTGTAGTAGTTCTGGAAATTTCTGCTCTGTACAGTAGAACTGTCGTGTCTTGTTTTTGATATTGGTTGACAGTTGCCTTGAGTTCCATATACTCTTCAAGTGTAGTAATGCAGCCCTTTGCCAATCTTCACCTCTCCATCGAATTCTCCTTTGATCGTCAGTCATGCCACCCAGTTACGTGAAAGTTTCCATCTCTACCAGAGCTTTATCAAGTGTGAATTAGTCGGTGCTCTCAGCGTTGTTTTTGAGGATCTTGCTTTTTCTCTGCATATGTTGAGGCCTACTGCTGCTACATTGTCCGTCTTCACTTGCATTTATTGGTGAGTATGTGATAGAAGAGTCAGGTCATCTACGAAGTTCAAATCGTCTAGTCCCATGCAAGCTGTCCATTGTATTCCGTGCTTCCCGTCAGATGTGGAGGTCGAATCATAAACTTATGCATCAATTCAAGCCTGAACTCGGCGTGCAGAAATGATGGTTTCAACCTCTCATATTTCCTTTATCCTAACTCTTCTGCAAAATGAAAACCAGTTCAGTCTTTAGCATCAAGGTTCAGGTGAATATGCTCAGAACACATAATTGATAAGGAACTATCCAGCCTCCCACATATACTCATCAATAATAAGTGTCCATCCAGAATCGTTGAGCGAAACATGAAGCATATACTACATTCTGCAAGACCTCATAGAGTTCCTAATAAATCACTAGCTGTTTTGAGTTGCTTTGGTAGGAGCGGACTGCCGGTTGGGTTCAGTCAGGAACATATGTGTGTAAGTGACCATCACTGGGAGATTTACACACCTTACCTACTGTTTGGTCTTTAGTATGTGAATCTGCCCGGCATTGGCCGACATATAAACCTCAATCCATTAGGTATTGTGGGCCAAATATACTTTTCCACTCAATTTCTACTCCGACATAGAAATAGAGTACTTAAGCGTGTATGTAGGGATTATATGAAAAACTCCCAGTACAAACAACAAGCCTATTCGTTGTCATTTTTCCTAGCGTATTTGGAGGGGTCAATGTAATTGTTCTTGGAAATGAAATAGGAATCCTTTATAATGAGATGCACTTGTGTGTGGGACGAATTCGATTTACTGCTTATTTACCTTTGAAGCTAATAAGCAGAATCTCAAAGTTTACTGACTACTGTTGTTTGCATTCTTTTAAGCGTAAACACTCGAATTTTCGTATTTTTCAGGTGAACATGAATGAATTTGGAGCTGCTGGTTCAACGTGTACTTCTGATCCTGAAACACGAGAGTGTACTGTTGAAGATTTAGTCAAAGTTGTGGAAGAAATGTCACGTCTTCATTAGTAGCCAATGTGTAGCAGATAAATCATACTAAATGTTTATATCAATTTATTTTTATTGATGCAGTTGTTGCTATTCATTGTCTTTACTTTTGCCTTTGATGATGGAAGCCGCTAGATTCTTTTAAAGCCATATTTTGCCACCTAATTATTCCAAACATTTTAATTCTGTACATGTTTCCTCTTTAATAATACACTTCTTCATTTAATGTAACGCCCATATAAATATTAGAGGTTCGTCGAAAATTCGTCCCATCCTTCACTACATTGTTGGTGTTAGGATATTGCTCTGCTGCTTATGTTTCTTTTGAAATCAAAATATATTGTTTACACCAATTCTTTTTTGTCCTGTGAAGTATTAGGCCTACTTAAACATTCAGGTTTTTAGATGATGACATGAACACAGAATGTTCGACTAATATATTGTGACTAGTTTAGGCTAAATCCTTACACGAACGTTTAATGCAGTACTGTTGCACTATCGCCGTAAGAGTGCGAGTTTAACAACTAATTTGACGGTAGGTATTAGTTTAGGGATTGCCGATTATGGTCGTCAGAAAAGATCGTTCTGATTTCGGACATAATGTTATATATACACTCGCAAGGAGTTGCAACCAAGTCCATGGATATGCAGAGGATCAGGTATAACGCCCAAACGTATTAGTTAGTAAATTAAAAACAAGTTCCTATGGATTAGGGATATTTCATAGATTTCCCAGCACTGGCTGCATTTTTGGAACAAAGAGGATCTTTGGTGGCGGTAGTACAAAGTTTATAGCGAGTAGGATGAAGACCACTGCTATCGGGTATTCAGACGACTAACAATTACTCGTTGGTCCTATAAGGAACAAGAGTAGTGCCTATGAATTTACAGCCTTTAGATAATGAAGTTTAAATAACAGCAGTGCCAATCTTGCGACTTCCTGATCATGCTACATTGTTTACACGCTTCAAAGTTCGTCATTATCATTAAGTGATGCGACAAAGCGTTGTAAAACATGACATAGTAGATAGTTTAGTCAGAACTCAGTTGTTTGCAAGTCACCCCTATTGTGGCCAGGCATTACAGCTTCGCTCCCAAGTTCGAGCGATGGGACTAATGGTCATGCCGTTTTCGAAATGACCAGAAATTTTAACAACTTGGAGATAAGTTGACTAACTTGCACCATATCCTTGATCAATCGGCTTAGGTATTTGGCGACAAATGCAAGCTGTGGAAGTAAACAATAGCGGAAAGTGATAAGGCTAATTAAATCGTCTCCCTATACATACGTCTCAGTGAAACTACTGGGGAAAAAGCTGTCAAACAAAATTCGGCGCCTGACTAAGTATGATGAAACTAAATACTTCTCCAGCTATGATTATCGTGGACCACAACAGCGATTGAATGGTCACAGGTAAATAGGTTTGGACCGGAAACACAATTGGTATATTAGTAGTGACTTGAAACCGACAAGGAACGCTAACACTAAGAATTGCCAGTGTCGCGCGACCTATGAATAAAATACTAACATTGTGTATTCCGCAGTTTTTTACTGACTGCCGGTTATACATTTTCTAACTTCAGCGGAACTCGTTTTATCTACGTTACAGAATACTCTACTTATGTTCAAATTAAAAATCCCCCTTTGTCTACCAGTACCTAAGACTGCTTAAGGCATTCCCAAACATTTTACTGATCTGAATGTTACATATTCTGTACTTGTCAGCTGAGTGACACGACAGTCATTATGAAGAGACTAGTTCAAAAAAAGCTGTATTGTACGATTTATAATGCGCTAAAAGTATACCTGTTGTACATTTATGTTTTTCAGCAAAATAATGTGAAGTAGTTTCAATAAAAATGTTAACAAAGAAAACGATATTAATTCTGGCATGTCATTACTAACGAACATTTTATAATACAGTGGTCGGAGTGAATTTTGCTTAAATCTACTACTTAATATTGACATATTGGCTGGGGAATGAAAACGAGTGGTAACCATTACCAGTATCGAAAGTGAGAAAACCAATGTTAGGAATAGTATTCCAAGACAAAGTTAAAGTGACATTATCATTGCCAATTAGTCCGTAGCCATCATCCCAAAAATAATACTTTGAGGTCATTTTCCTGTAAACCAGTTCAGCTTTTGACCCACGCTTGATGATTTTGTCCCACAAAACAACTTGATTTAGTTTGTTATCTGCGGACTTGTATTCTGCAGAAAGATATAAAAACAGTTGTTTTACATTCCAGTTGAACAAGTGATCTAAGGAAGACTGAAGGGAATTAAACAAAATGAGGTCTTACTGATAAATCAATAGTTATTAAACCCAAATCATTGTGATGACCGCTGTGAAGAGTGTAATCGTCAGCTCGATCGACTATTGCACGACCAACGTTGATATCAACAGAAGCTGAAGGTCTGATGTTTACAGTAGACAGGAAACAAAACAGCATTAATGCAGAATATGCGGTGAGAGTGATAGTCAATAATGCACTACATCTTGTTACGATTGAGTACATTCTGTACGGAAAGACAATACAAACTACCCGCTACCACGCGTATTATGACATAAAGCACACGTTTGTATAAAATGAGTTACTGAAACAAATCCAAGTCAACAAAAAAAATCATTATTTTTTATGGTAAGAAAATGTAGACAAGTTTTCAAAAAACTTATATCAGAAGGGATGTAAGTGTTTAAATTGACATGACTTGGAAATCTGAGTATGCAGCGTAAGTTCTCGTTATTAGTGGAATGAATAATCATTGATTTAGATTTGTGCATTGAGTACAAACGGCTGATACCTTGTGTCTGTCATTTTAGTAAATTCCTGTAAACGTCTAGCTTTTCATATGAATGAGTCAGTTTAAGGTGCGATCATGACATCCCTGGCTAGTAAGTTCCTTGGATTGGTGTTTCATCATGAAAACCTGTATGTCAAGAATATTATACTCGTTCTTGGCTTTTGAATTAGCTTGATATATCTTTTAAAATGTCATAACCAGGAAGGGGAAAAAGAGAGGACTCACCATTTCGAAATGACACCAGATTAAGGGAGTCTAACTCCTCATAAATTTTCAAAAATATCCCGAGTCACCTTTAAAACAGAAATTAACAGCATCTCACTTATGTTGTGTATACTGGTATCCAACTTGGTGAACATTTTTCTTGAACCCATAATATTTTGAACTCTTTAGTGTACAACCTTACGGCATTGCACCATTGCTTAATTTTACGGCTCACAGTTAAACCTAGATCATTGAGGAGAAAGTGATATGAACACTAACGCTTTCACAATGCTATAACTATTTGTCATCCTTTAACGTGTGTGTATATAGACGCACTTGGCCATCTCAGTCGGTACCAGAGAATGTTTGAACCGGCGTGCATCTGTGTCTTCCGTTAATTTTCACCTGATTTTCACGTCATCAGCATAGGGTAGCCTCCAGAACACAGCGATACTCGAGCGTCAGCATAAATAACAATGGTTTTCACAGAAAGCATCTTGGATTGAATCCTTCTTTCTGTTGATGAACTACTACAGAAAGGATCAGTGCTTGTTTTTACTTTCAGGCTTTGGAGATCATATCAATAAAGACATTTACTGAACAAGATAACCTAAAAATCGGATTTTATGTTCTTTATCGCAAAATCAGAATCCGAAATAGCGTATAGTCAGATTTTAAATATAAAATACTACCGTATCTTCATTGTTTCTACTGTTCATAAACATAATTGTAGGTTGGTCTTTGAAAATGTCTAAATTATCACTTAAGCAATTCATTTTATGAACTGCATATGCTTATTATGAATGGTGAGTGGTTCATGAAGAGGGTTTGGTATACAACAAAAGTGCGGAGTGAAAATGTTGATTTTCTTTGTCTCCATGGCTCAGAGATGCCTTAGGTTTATGAGTGCCTTTCCCATTGTGCTTCAGACCTCTGCGGTATGTTTAAAATTTTTTCCACTTTCCTCGTTTTGAAAATTTTACAAACCCTCACCTCTACCTAGTACAGACCTCCCAGAGCTCACAATTTTGGAGAAAGTCCGACCCATTTTGGGGATATTTTGAGGCAGCCACAATAATAAACTTTGGGGGAAATTTAGGGTTTTTGGTGCCATTTCCTCACAATTTCCCCTAACTTTGATGAAGGACATTTGATTTGGGAGGTTTCCCCAAAATTCCTCAAAGTTTCCAAAAATTTAGGAGACTGGGTCATTACTTCAATAGAAATTAGTGTCTAAAATTGTTTTCTAGGTTTGCGGCTATTGTATTTATCTGTGTTACTGGAATAATGGACCTATTTTATAGGTGATGGTACGACCTAATCTATCAGACCACATTAGGAAGTCACATCATATACACATACTGACCTTATTCTATCCTAATATTTTCTGCTTCGGTTTTCTGAAGAATGCATTTGGGCTCGGAAGAGAACATTATGTTTGATATAAAGAGGAATGATTTATATGACATGGCTAGACCATGTCATACTAATTAAGTGTTCTCACGTTCACCATTTCTAACCTTCTTTTTGATACCAAACCTTTGCTACAAATCCTTCTTGTTAACGTATGTGTGGCTTCAGGGATGGTTTAGTTGAGAACCATTACCCTGTAGTGTGGCGTCGAGCCGCGTTTGACCATGATCATCACTACAAGAAGACTGCATACCAGAACGGGCTAAAGCTCTGAGTAAACCAGAAATCAGAAGGCGATTGAAGGTTGTAGCGAAATATATTTATTCGCGATCTCGTGGTATCGAAATAGTACCGAGATCGTGCCAAAGGATTGCAAGCGGATTTACTGAGCAAACGTAAGTTCGTCCAAGGTCACAAGCAACGGAACGAAGAGTGTCTTTAGTACAGTTAAACAAGCAAGTACTGTAAAACATTCACTGGCAAAATTGGTTATAATAATAATAATTTATATTCTGAAAAAAATGATAAATACAGAATTCACGCCAGTTTACAGGCATGATCAATTTGATATAAATAATATCATAATATGTACAGAACAAACATGTGATATGAGTTTTAAGTTTACTAGTTCAGTAATTGTTTCCACTACACCAATCACGTTCTGTTGATAAAAGTAGGTCACTACAACCCCTACAAGCAATTCTGATCATGACCAACTTATCCGGCACACTTACAAGGGATTAGTATGTATTCTCCAATTACCATAGTCTTCGTAGGTTCGCTTTTCGGACATGACGTCTGTGGTGGTTCCCAGCAAAAAGAGCTTATACAACATATATCAATACACTAGGTTATTAATAATATACCAAAAAAGTTATTAGTAAAAACCCTAGGTGTCTGTGTACGAGTAAATACCAAGGGTAACAAATCACAGTTAGAATACAAATGGTATATTGAACAATAAGACAATAACAGTTATTATGGGACGAATGTTACTTGTAGGCTACTCTCTTGGATGACAACCACAAATAAGTTCACTCGATTTAACGTAGATTCCCCTGCATGTGATGGCACCGAGGGCGTGATTAGAAAGACAGAGTTCAATAGTATTATATAATAATAACGTAGTGTAGGAAGGTTTAAAAGGATATTATAACACTATTATAGTCTTCAGTCAAAGGCCGTGGACGATAAAACAGAAAGACAAAAAGCATAGATGGCGTATGATATTTCAATCAGCACGGTAGTAAATTCGAAGGTTCAATTATCAAAACTATTATAATCTTTTTTAAACAAGTGATACGGAAAAACAACAGATATTGAATAAAAATGTGGTTACAAATATCACGGAATATACGTCACCATACATCAGACTAGATAAATTGGCAGTTGAAAAATGATAAGTAATAGAGCTGAGATATATAAAGCCAATAGCTCAGATTAGTAAACATGAGTCACTTCACAATGTTAGTATTAACCCAACTGTTCAGCATACCGGCTATGTAGTTAAAACTCTATTTGTTAAAGCCTCGAATTTCATGTATGAAATTGAGAATAGATCGTTTCAGAGTAGAAGAGACTTGAAGGAAATCCGTGTTGCTGTTGGTAGTGTTTACGAAGTGATCGAACTGATCTTGCTAACGTATTAGGCGGTTACTGTAAGCCAGATGTAAAACATCCCGAATGGCCTGAAATAATGAAAGGTTGACCTTCCTTAGAGGGACTGAGGCGGTTATTACAACCTCAAAAGATCACAATGCACAATATGCAGGACAAAGTTTCATAAGTATAGCTACGAGTCGCATACTACTCCCTGAGATATTAACAACCTAGCGTATGAGTACAGATACCTCTGTACGATAGCGACGCAATCATGTAGTCCGACAGTTTACAGCCTTTGTTGACAGCAATAATTTCATCAATATGCAGTGTTGAGTCACCTAGACTGGTGGCCACATTGCAACATGGTCGATAGCATTCGATCTGCACTAATAATAAGGACTAGACAAGCATGACATTGGTCACCACCCAGTGATCAATCAATTGTGATTACATCTCAGTCCTACAGGAGGTCGGTCGCGGCCCAGATAGCTCAGTGGTAACATCTCTGACTGTGAAGCTGGGTGACACGGGATCGAATCCGCCAGGGAGCACCAGTTCCCTCAAAGATTACAGGTACACCTTGCTGACGAGTGCCAAGTAGCACGAAACCCGGGTCCAGGGTTTCCTGTCGACTACCTCCAATCACCATCTAATACCTAAGGAGCTTACAATGGAACCATTTTAAACAGACAAAAATTAAGAGTGACTATGGAGGGTGAAAAAACAGCTACGAAATACCTTCACGCCCCCAAATGTACAGTTATGACCCCGTAAATAATAGTGCCACTGTTCCGTTCAGTTACCTTCTGATCCATGAACACTACCCGTTCGGGAATCTGCCGTAGGAAATGTTTGAGCCTCCATGGCACGTACATCACCAACTATCAGTGTCACATGTCTGAAACTTATTCAGATTTGTAAATCAACTAGATCGGATAACACCACATCACTGAGTGTGATAAGAAGTTTGGGAAACCAAAACTGCTTTTTTGACACTGATAGAGTGTATTTATTATTTATTATTTATTTGAACACATAAATATTGGTACAAGGGGGGCACCAAATATATATGCGGCACACAAAACACTGATAATTTGAAGAGAAGGAGAAAAGAGAAAAAAAGTAATGAACGTGGGGAATTATGAAAAAAAGGGAGAGAGACAGAACAATGGTGTGGGAAACGGAAAAGTACAATCAGAAGAGATCTTTCAGTTAAGCAAGATACAACCACTTTTTATGAAGAAAATAAGAGGTTACAGTACGATCGCCACTGGCTTCTATTCTGAGCCATATCTGATAACGTCTCTAGCCACTGCGTTACACCGTCTTTCGGACTCCAACCAGGGAGTCGTGAAGGACCAACAGAAGCCAGCCCTTTGCAGCTTTCTTTCGTACCACGACACCATGTCATATACTGACCACCTCTCCGCTTTTTCCAACTAGTCCCAGAGTCGGCAAATAATGCACGACGAGGAATTCTCTGGGACGACATTCGTAAAACATGTCCAAGCCACCGAAGTCGGTGTTTCAAGATGGTGACACCAATTGAATTATC